ATCCATCGGGGCAGTGGGTTGTGGCTGCCCTCCTCTGAGTGCCTTCATCTGAATTGTCTCACCTACAGGCCGTGGATGTGGTGGGCCAGGCCGGCAAGCCGAAGACCATCACGGGGTTCCAGACACATACCACCCCCGTGTTGCTGGCCCATGGGGAACGGGCAGAATTGGCTACTGAGGAGTTTCTTCCTGTAACCCCCATTCTGGAAGGTTTTGTTATCCTTCGGAAGAACCCCAACTATGACCTCTAAGTGGACACCAGGGGCCCCAGCTTCCGATGGATCGGTGGGCAGTGCTTCGTGCTTCCAGGGGTGGGCACTGCTCCAGCCCTCGGGGGGATTCTTACCTCCTGTTCTTTTGTTACTGAGTGAGATAACTGTTGAATAAAGACCTTTATCTCCAATGTGTGCTTCCTGGGGCATCATGGTGGAGGCCAGCCTGGGGGTGGTCAGTGGAGAGGGCATTGTTTGGAGCAGCCCTGAGCTTAGGTTGCCCTGAATGGAAAAAAGAAGCTCCCTTTTCTTCCTCTCCTCCACCATCATCTTCTGTTTTCATTTTCTTAGGACCCTCGGGAAATAACGAATGTAATGGATCTTTCTGGGAGATGCACGCACACATTTTTGCGAACTCTTAGGCCTGACTTGCCAGAGACATTGTGGACCCCGGCCTGTACTCTCTTCCCTGTGTACTGGTTTATCCCCGAGTCCATCTTCTGACCTTCGCCTAAGGATGCCCGAGAGAGGGAATCCCCGTCTTTTCCTAATTCAGCTGTGTGCTACTAAATGAAAAGGACATCTTTTCCTCCTGTGACTCTGTCCCTCTTGAGAGGCTGTTCAGATTCGACCATATTAACATCTATTGGGCCATTGTAGAAATGACTGCAGAAAATTTTACTTCCTTTTTTTTTTTTTTGTTTTTTACCATAGGATGTGCACTTGCCAGAGACGACAGTGAGAGGGAAGGTGAGGAATCGCCCCTCCCAGAGGGGACTGGCCATGCCACAGTCCCTTCTCCATCTTCCTCTTGGGATCTTGGGCACATACACATGTATACAGTGTGATTTTCTTTAATTTTTTAAAAAAGAATTACAAAGTTTACCATTTCTGTATGTATTTTAATTTAACCATAGAGGGACAGAGAGCAAGTTGGCCGTGTGGGAGGCCAGTGCCCTTTACCACCATGTCACCTGCCAGCCCTGTACCCTGCCTGATTTTCTAGCTGCCAGGTCAGAGACTCAAACCGGCCATATGGGAGTCCCAACACCTTAACCACTGTACCATGTGCTAGCCCCCCAGACCCTGACTTCTTAGTGTAGCAGTGGAAAAGTGGCCTCCCACATGAAATGTAATCACTCGATCTGCAGCTCTCCTTCCTGGTGGGGCCGTATGAGTTCAGCTGCACTGACATTTAGGGTCTGGACCCCTGTAGAGACTGGGAGAACATGCGGCCCTGCCTGGTACTCTTAGCTAGCACGTACCCGACTGAGTTCTTGAGCAGCGGCTGCCACTGTATAGATCTATAAAAGTTGAAAGAATAACTACTGGACTCCCCACATGGTCAACTGCAGTTCGAGTCCTGGACCCGGTGACTTGAAACACACTGGTGTGTGTGTATGCGTGCCCAATATCTCGAGAGGAGAATGGAGACGGGATTGCAGTGGGGCCCCTTGGAGGGTGATTCCTCACTTTCTGTCTCTGTCTCGCCTCTCCCGTGAGTGCATGTGCCCTATAGCGAAAATCTCTAAATAACTTCTACATGCTGCTTGGACTGTACAACTTTGAGAGTTGGGTATTACCCCCACGTTTCAATAGCGAGTGGTGGAGCCATGACTGGAACCTTTAGACCCTGTGACTTCAAAGCCCACACTGTTACTGTAATAATCTCTCTACCCTAGGAGACCTGAGGGCCCCATTTTAGCCTGAGGACTCAGCTAGATGGAGAAGCCATAACCTCTTTGGATTGAGTGTCCCATTGTCATCTGCTCTTAGCGGCCTGGATTAAAGGCCGAATCACTGAAATTTGGCATCAGCAGACTTGTCTAGCACCTTCGACATAATCATTGTAATCTTCAGCATCTCACCCTGTCTGATGAGCCACTGTTACTGTGTACTGGGGACATTGTAATTATTTTACCTGATTTCCACTGGCAGCAGTGTTAAATAAGATAAACTCCAGGGCCAGCTGTTGACACGATGGTTAAGGCAGCTGCATCCCGCATGGCCAACTGCACAGTGCAAGCCCTGGACCCAGTGGCCTGAGAAACACCAGGAGCGTGTGCGTACATGCCCCCAAATCCTGAAAGGTGATGCAAAGAAAGGATTGCTGTGTGGCCACCTTTCGCTGGGGGTGTTCTCTTGTTCCCCCTGTCTCCTGTCTCTCTCCAGTGAGTGCACACATGCCTTCTAACAACGACAAGGTGAGTTAGAAATTGTGTCTGCAGGCGGTGTGGGGATTAAGGTGTCTATACCCCACCTGGCGGACTGTCCTTTGAGTCCTGTACCTGGTGGCTTGAAGGTCATGGGGGAGCATGTGTGCATGCCCCAATCCTGTGAGGAAAATGGAGAAGGGATTGCGGGGCAGCTATCCCCCCACACCCCGCCGGGGGGTGACTCTTTGCATCTCCCTGGCGTGCCTGTGCCCTATAGTAAAACTTTAAAAAGAAAGTGATTTGTAAACTAAAGGACAATTTTCCCAAATCAGTGACTATGCTTTAGAGCAGAGGCCCCCAGCCTTCCTAGCACCAGGGACTTGCCTCGTGGAAGACAAGCCCTCCATAGATGGGGGTGGGTAGTGGTCCCACGATGACCCAAGTGCACCACATCCACAATGCAGCCCATTTCCACACTGCCACGCTGCAATGTACAACAAAGCAGTCACGCAATGGCGTTGGCACTCCCATGAGAATCCAGTACCACTGCTGACCTGACGGGAGACGAGCCCGGGGTAGAGCCAGCGATGGGGAGCAGCTGTGGACGCAGATGACAGAGAGGCCCGCTTACCCGCCTCCCGCCCCTGCTGCGCAGCCTGTCAGACCCGCCTGGTTGGGATCGCTGCCGTAGAGCAAGACATCTCCGTGGTGGCTCTTGGCTTCTGACACCCGGTCGTTCATTTGGCAGCAAATATCAACGAGGCTTTACTCCCCTGTGCATAGGGGAAACCCTGGGTTTGGGTGGTGGTGCAGTGGTAAAATGTGATGCTCGGGGCCAGCAGGTGGCATGGTGGTTAAGGTGCCAGACTACCACCTGGCCGGCCATTGTTCAAGTCCTGGAACTGGCAGCATGAAAATCATGCCAGGCGTATGTGCACGTGTACCCAAAATTCCAGGAGGAGAATGAAGGAGAAGGGGTTGTGGCATGTCCACCTGCCTTGGGAGACGATTTCATATTTTCCCTCTCATTGTCTCTCTGTGTCTCTTTTCAGTAAGCGCATGGGTCATATGGCAAAAACCCTAAAAAAGAAGGACACTCTGTGACGCTGATCCACCTGGGAAGGTTCTTTGTTATGTCCAGGGACCTCTGAGTACACCCGGCATGTGTGGGTGACCTGGGGCTGATGAGGCTGGGGATGGGTAGTGGTCCAGAGTCCCTGTTTCAGCTGCTGTCTCTGTCTCCATGTCTCTCTCAATCATGGAAGAAATAGACTCAAAAAAAATATCCTGTCCTCAAAAAGCTTAATGTGGGTTGGGACCAGCAGCTGGCATAATGGCTATGTCACTGGACTCCCATGTAGTCAACCGCGGTTCAAGTCCTGGACCTGGTGGCTTAAACTCACACCAGGTGTGTGTGCGTGCGTGCCCAAGTTCCCGAGAGAATGGAGGAGAAGGGATTGCAGCATGACCATCCCCCCTGGGAGGTGATTTCTCGCTTTCTGTCTCTGTCTCTCTGTCTCTTTCTGGTGAGCGCACGTGCCCTGTAGCAAAAAAATAAAAATAAAAAAAGCTTAATGTGGGCCAGCCAGTGGCATGGTGATTAAGGCAGGTGGCTCCCATATGGCCGACCGCATGGCTTGAGTACCAGACCTAGTGGCTTAAAAAACACACCAGAGAGGCCAGCAGGTGGAGTGGTGCTTAAAGGGGCTGGACTCCCACATGGCCGACTGTGGTTTGAGTCTCAGACCTGGTGGCTTGCTTTCTCTTTCTCCCTCTCACTTTTTCTCCTTCTCTGGTCAAATTAAAATAAATAAATAAATACATAAAGTTAAATAAAAAATAATTCTAAATTTGAAAAAATTAAAAAGGAATAGAACACAGGATCGGCATGTGGCGTGGTGGATAAAGGTGAGGAGTTTCCACATAGCAGACTGTGGTTTGAGTCCTGGACCTGGTGGCTTGCCTTCTCGCTTTCCCTTTCTCTCTCTGTCTGGTCAAATTAAAAAAAAAAATAGTAATAATAAAATAATGACAAGTGGAATTAAATAAATAAATAATTCTTAAAAAAAAAAAAATCACCCCAGAGGGGCCAGCAGGTGGCGTGGTGCATAAGTGTGCTGGACTCTCACATGTTCAACTGCAGTTTAAGTCCCGGCCCTGGCTGCTCGCTTTCTTGTCTTTTCTCTCTCTCCTGCTCCCACTCTGTCCCTCTCTGGTCAAATTAAAATAAATGAATAAAGTTAAATAAAATAATTTTTAAAAAGAAAGAAAGAAAGAAAAACATGCCAGATGCATGTACTTGTGTGCCCAAAATCCTGAGAGGAAAGAGGGGGGAGGGGTTGTGTTTGCCCTTTCCCCGGGGGGGGGGGGGGCTTTCTCACTGTCTCTCTTTTTTTCTTTTCTCTTATCTACATTCATCTTATGCTGACTTTATTCCTGTGCCATAAGTTTTTGTTTCTTCAGTATTTTCTGGGATGCCTTTTTCTTCTGTGCGACTTCCTCTTCCGGTTTAGGAACAATTTGCTCCTTCTCAATGAGGGTCATCTAGATGTGCAGGGGGAGCTCGTGTACGGGTTACTCCGCCCAGGAGCTCTGTACGTGCAACGGGGCATCGTGGGTGCCTTGTTTACCTGAATGTGCTCAGTGGCCAGAGAGTCTACTTTATTATTATTATTATTATTAAAGAATTATTTTTATTATTATTAAAGAATTATTTTAGAAGGGATTGCGGCGTGACCATCCCCCCTGGGGGGTGATTTCTTGCTTTCTGTCTCTAATGTCTCTCTCTGTCTGTCTGGCGAGCGCACACGCCCTATAGTGAAAATCTCTCCAAAAAAAAAAGAATTATTTTATTTAACTTTATGTATTATTTATTTATTTGTTTATTTCAATTTGACCAGAGAAGGACAGAGTGAGAGAGAGAGAAAGTGAGAAAGCAAGCCATCAGGTCCAGGACTCGAACCATGGTTGGCCATGTGGGAATCCAGTGCCTTTAACCACTATGCCACCTGCCGGCCCCCCAGAGAGTCTACTTCTAACCCCTTACGTTCGGCACTCCTCTCTGCTTCTTTAAGCGCTCTTTTTGGGCCACCAACCTTGTTTCCAGCCCCACTGTTTGGCCTAGACACATCTCCCAACTCCGCCATTGTAACGACGGAATGGCACACACGGCTTCTGTGAAGTGACAGCCTTCTGGCTGGCTTTTCAGATGTGCATACCCTGCTGGCCTGGGCAGTTTCACGAGTGTTCTTAACGTGAGCACGGAAATTTGAACCTCTTGTTCTGCATGACTGTGTGGGGTTCTCTGGGTCAAGGGAATAGCGAACCATTTTCAAAGATCACCTCAGGCCACTTACGAGAAGGAGGTCTCACTGTCTCTTTCTCTCTCTGTCCAATGAGCGCACACACCCTGTGGCAACATTTTAAAGGAAATAAAGCT